AAAGTATTGACCCGAAGATTAATAGACCTTCCATGAATGTGTCAAATAGAGGAATGGCTCTCTGTGCAAGATGTTTTGTATTCGGGCTGCTTGAACTCGATCACGTCGTTCTTGCAAATCACCGATATCTTTCATTGTCTAGACGGCAAGATATAGAAGCAAAACACGCTGAACTAACATCTTTTAATTAACTTACACGCAAAACTAATCTAGACTAACGCTTAGTTTCTAAAACTATATATTGATAGAAACCAAAACACCACAGGAGCCAAAGTGAGTCAAGAGATTCAGAGGAAAAGCTAGACTTGATTCATTTGGGGCTCTACAATATATTTGGTTGGTTGGTTGTTGTTTAACGCCGCACTCAGCAGTATTCCAGCTGTGTGGTCTTCAGTAACCCATGCTTGTCATAAAAGGCGACAAACGGGTGGCAAGGCTCGCTGACTTGACCGACACGTGTCATCGTACTGTGTAGATCGATATTCATGTTGATCACATAATTGTCTGCTCCAGAATCGATTATTTACAGACCACCGTTATACAGATGGAATATTGATGAGTGCGGCTTTAAACAACATATCCATAAGCTGTTGATCTGATTTCCAACGTATACAATCACAAGAATGTTATTGGAGGCCATGGATACATGCATATTCTATCAATTTACAAATTCAAGGAACATTGCATCTTATTTTGAGATCCCTAAAAGAAGAAGACACCTGCTTTTAGTCATATTTTTACCCATCAAAATTAAGCGTCTTACTGTTCTTAATAGGGGTGTGAGGGGGCCGGTTACTACTACACGTTGATAAGTCAGCTCGATATGTGTATTGTACCATAAGAAACAAGTATGTCGGTGCGTTTGTCTGCATCCTGTGTATGTGTCTGATGAGGAGAAATAATTGTGATTTCAGCGGAATCTGTACCAGATTGATCGATTCAGTTGTATCGACAAGTATGGTTGATTCTATATGGGTAAATGTTGCAATTAATGAGAATCCTAATTTCACAGACAATCGTGGAATGCAGGATTGGCTGACATAGGATCGCAGTCGCCAACTTGCTGCCAAGAACAACACAACACATGTCGACATGGAATATGTTTATATCACAAATATCCACAATAAAATCAGTACAGAACAAGACACTGACAACACAAACAAGTACTTAAGAAGCCTCATATTCCAGTTGCCTAGTCCTTTGGTTCGGGCGTGCCAGTACCGTCTGGTTTGGCAATGATAAAAAAAACACACGGCAGTTGACACCTTCCGGGTATGGATCATGCAAATATACAGTTGAAGCATCCGTGATGAAAGCTTTCAGTGATGAAAGTATCTGTGATGAAAACTTTCAGTGACGTGTTTCTTCCCAGAAAACAAACCACGTTACCCTTTACTAATAATTCAAGCGCACGAATTTGTAAATTCTGGTTACCTTATTGTTTATTAGCAATGAAGTCATGACCTCTTCTGTTAATATTAACATCAGAGACTTCGTTCCCAGATCAGAGTACAAACATATGATTACGATGAGGAGAGCTATGGAGTTGTCTAGGCTGTGTTCACTTGATATTTTAGGTCAACTTGAGTACAACAGTAACCTGAGCTGTGTGCAAACATAAATAATGCCTTACATGTCCTTGATAAAGACGTCCATATTCAAGGATATGGCCCAATGTTAGCATATGACTGGCTGCCCTTACGTAAAGATACGGAATTAAAAGTCCATGTGTAAATAAAAGGCCTTCATATTCCTAATTTAAGATAAAGCCATACATGTCTTTATGTAAAGGTAATGCCATTCATACCCTAGAGGGAAGCTAAAAAGGGAATAATGTCCCTTGAACTGGAGATAGCAGTTGTCTTACCCTTCAATTTCATTAGTAAAATGAAGACAGTTAACGTTATTAAGAGCAACGGGGACTAAATAAAATGGTAAGCTCTGACTACTAGCAGAAAGCAAACTGTTACAAACTGATGATTTATGTGATCCGATTGTAACAGCTGAGAATATAATCAATGATCAACACAGAAGAACTGATCACCAAAAGAGGGACACATAATTTGTGAAACTTGTAACCGATCAGCATGAAACTGTCTCCACATGACGTATCTCACATCTGAGCATATTGATTGCAGAGAGTCAAGGACAAATCTGGACCTATGTGGCAATTCACACCTGGCAACATGACTGAGCAGTTAAAAAGTTGTATTTATACTTTTGACAAGACATACAAAGACATTCATATTGAAGTATTAAAAAGGATATGCACAGATTGTGGTCACAGGTTTTCAACAGCACACTGGTTCCTGATCTCAGTGTTGCTTTCGTCCTAGACATTCACAGTCTAAACCACTCTTTCTCTCCCTCTATGAATAATAGTCGGCCAAATAAACAGACACTGTTGTCGGCTCGTTGTGGCGAGGTATGCATCGTCTACCGATACCTTGCCTGACAATGAGAAATGTCTCTGTCGTAGCATGTTGAAACATTATTACAAAGCCACGTCATGTCAGGTGCTTCAAATGGGAACTAGGCAATACTGGTTCATACGCTTTTGTAGAACAAGCTTTGCTCCAGTATATATCATCAATTTATATTTTCATCCATCAGCAAGTTATTTCTTTTGAAATATTTTCACAAGCACAAATTCATAAAATGTAGGTCTGAATAATCTGAATAAAAATACAAATATCTCAAACAATATCTAGCTATGGCTGTCATGATAAATGACTTTTCAAAAGTTATCTCGAAAAATAATAAATCAGCTAATAAAGATAGCATGCATCTTTTCATACCAACTGAATGATCCCAGTATAAATCAAGATGGACGGAGGAAATGCAGCTCCAACTACATCATCTCCCTTGTTTATAGGGGAGATAACTGCAAAAACATGTCTTAGTTTGGCAGAGAGAAGAGAGCATAATTGTTGGACTGTCAATTATACAAATATGACTGTGGCTAGCATCAAGGAGGTTGACTGGATATTTGCCAGACTGAGTTATCAAAACATAAACGTTGAGATGAACCCACGGAGATCAATGCTGATAATGTGAAACAAACTATAGAGTGACAGACCATCAGTGAAATCATACTACTGGAGGTCAACCATTACACACGTGATGCTGTCGGACACCCGCAGAGATACCACGGCCTGATCATACCCGTGCAAAAAGTATTCGGACACTTGACGTGATTTCCATAGACTTACATGTTATTTCAGTGTAGCATAAATAATTTCATGAAGTGAGTTCAGGATGGATCTTTGTAAAATTTGACAGGCAAATTTGAAATCATCTCTGCTCTGGGCACACAAATTCAGTTCAATTTTCCGACCACTATTTAACTAATAACATCACATTTATCAACTTGTGTATGGTTTCACAATGAGCAATCACATAGGCCGCCATGTTAGAGGAGTTCACGGCACTGTGCACATGTTGATTAAATTGTTGCCATCCGATAAAAAAGCAACGGAAAATTAAACAGAAATTATTTGATTGTAGGCGAAATGATTCCTCACAAATGTGCAAAATCTGACTTGGATCCTACGGAAATTAAATTCATGAAAATTATTTATGCTACACTAAATTAACATGTAAGTCTATGGAAATTACGTCAAGTGTCCGAATACTTTTTACACGACTCTGTACCTATTTTACCCATAATGGAGATATAATTAACTTAATTTAGTAGAATATGGGACATGCCATGGACTCTTGCTTCACTGATGTAAAACATGTCATGATTTATTCTTGCAAATATAGATCAGTTAAGTTTTTAAAACGTCTTGAGTGGGCAGGCTGTCTTACCTTCCATGACTTCCCCTTGCAGTAATATAATTGTATGGTAACCGTAAATCTGGGCAACATTCCCGAAAATCATCTTTGCAATATCTGTTGGTATGACTACATAATAGTAAGAGAGGTACAATTACCTTTGTCCGAATTGATTTATGGGGACAGGACTCAGCAATATCTCACTACTTTTGTGTTTATTGTCAATGGTAAATATACTTTCCAATACTTGTTCCCATCTCAGTACAGCTGATGTGTTGTAAAAACTCACTCACTCACTCATTCTCCCTCTATGGGAATCTACTTCCATACGTCATCAGTGAAAGTAACTCAGTTTTAAAACCTAGCAGTCTTGCAGGAAATACATCAGTGAGTGTAACGGACACTTAGCCTATCTTCAAGCAAATACATCTGTGTCAATGTAGTTTTTCATTCTTTGAATTTCTGTCATTCTATATTATATTTTCCTGAATCATAGCTCTTGATAAACCAAAAACGCATGACATAACTTGCGCATCGCCTGCCTAACATTCCTAATATTATGCATAAGTTTCATAAAAAGGAACAGAAAATAAAATCAATGTCAGCGGAAATCATCAAGTCAGCAAATATATGTTAACAACAGTTTTACAACACAAGTTGAGCAGTGACTTCACATCCAAATACTTAAATGATATATTGTGACCACAACAATTTGGCAAAATATGAGGCATTCAGTTCCACTAGTCTTCACTGACTAATGGACGTTGCCTGTCTCCAGAAGGAGCAATCACTATCTATAGCTTGGTACATAATGTTGTCTCTTGTGTTATCAGCAGCCCGGCTAGAACATGTAATTGCACATGCAGCCCACACTTGCAGTCTATTGACAATCCAAGAACTTTTCCTGAACCTAGAAATTCTTATTAGGACTAATTCAGTAGTGTTTGATTATCGTTCATGAGCCAGACAAGGCCACATGTCCCTCACTGGAGCGATTTGGCCAATCACTGGGCGTTCTCTGATACAAGCCATCAACTTGTCGAAGCAGAAATTTGGCCAATTCTTCAGCCACCAGTTTGTCTCTGCAGAGATACGGCCTATCCTTGAGCTGCTCTTTGAGACAAGCCACCAGTTTGTCTCTGCAGAGATACGGCCTATCCTTGAGCTGCTCTTTGAGACAAGCCACCAGTTTGTCTCTGCAGAGATATGGCCTATCCTTGAGCTGCTCTTTGAGACAAGCAACCAGCTGGTTTGAAAAATATATAGTACCTACATTTCCAATTCCATCAGGCTGACCCAGTAATTAAAAGCTGGAATTCTACAGGCAGCAGGCCATATGAAGGAGGGAATTAATGTGTTTCAACCTCATTTTTAGATTGATTGATTGATTGTTTGTTTAACGCAGCACTCAGCAATATTCCAGCTATATGGTAGCGGTCTGTAAATAATCAAGCCAGGACCTCATCTCTAGAGACATGGCCTAGGTGATGCACAGCATAAATAATCTTTCATATATTAGTATTTTCATGAACTTGTCAATAAATAGTAAACACCCATTAAAGCATGAATGTCTAGTCACTCAAATGTAGCTGATCACAAAATTGATACAGAAAGTTTTATCTCAGCTCCTCATAGTACAAACCCAAGCTTTCACATGAAGGAAAACACCCCAGCAAAGAAAACTTTGGATTCAAATTACATAAACATGATGGATTGAGCCAGTGGTATGTTGGCCCCAAGGAAGTGATGTATTGTGAATTATTTAAAATGGAAAATAATTCAGCATATATGATAAAAAAAATAGGATTAAGTTTTACATTAAATGTACTACGATAAAGTGTTATCAAATAACAAACAAGAACAAATGAAAATAATTCTTAAAACATGTAAAATGCACTAGAAGTTCCAAGAATAAACACAATGCTGGAGAGGGACAATACTAGAGGGTCTATCGTAACAGCCAATACATCAGCCCAGTAGCTTCATCCTTTCAACTATCCATCATCACATACCAGCTGCTCGGACAGATGCTCAGAATAAAGCAGTGATAATAGTTACAATTATACTGGTTTTACAGACACTATGACAAAATGAAATATTGTGGTTTTTCAAATGATAAAAGATTCTATGAAAATAGATTTCTTGATTAAAAGTTTAAATTTATGTAGAGATCAATCACCATTTGTATTACATATCTGCTCTGTAAGAACTTCATGAAAGGCTGTAATGCATGAGTGAAGCCTTTAACATGCTTGAGTATTAAAGAAAGAGCATGAGACAAAGTTACTACTGTACAGCTTAAGTCAAACAAGGTGTGTATGAAGCTAACACATCATTTACTGAGCACCAACTGCCTCACAATGTGATCTGTAAGGCAAAACTACAGCATGTAGGCTGCTCATTAACAACATCGTCTTCTAGGCCTCCAAATCATAATGCATGATGCCCACTGTGTTTTAAGAGTCAAGGTAAGATCTCTTTCAAGGTACAAGCTCAACTGTGACCAACATGACTCACACCTAGTTCAATTACGATCAAGCTTGAAGTACAGTTTGTTGGGAAGAAGGTTTTCCTATTGTTAGGTGTTATCTACCCAGTGACCAAGCCATGGCATCAGCTTCAGAATGTTCAGCATAGACTCGTACCCTGTAGTGTCAGGAGAGAGATGGTGAACAACTCTTCCCTGTAATGGGCAGTCTTTCTACATAGCCTGGGCACAGAACATTCAGTTACTATTGCGAGACTTCCTGATTTTCCAAAAATGACAAATATTAGTCGGCATTCGATTAAAATATTGATACGTAATTTCTATATTTCAGAGTTAGACTCCAAGCACCAACAAATTCGGTGAAGCATCTCACAGCTCTGTGAAGCATCTCAAAGCCCAATGAAGCATCCCACAAATCACTTTCCAAACACTTCCTTGTGGTGGACTATGATCAATTCAATGACCTTCTGCTCGAACTTGGCAGCCATCAGGCTGACCATGGGGTCTGTCTCCAAGGGACGCCATCAGTGTGGGTGCAAACACGATGGACAGGTTCTCCGCACCCATCATGTTCTTGCTCTTGTGGTCCGTCACTCTGGAGTACAGCACAAATAAACACAATGTCACATGTATTGGCAGCTTGTTGTGTTTCAACATCATATGCATGTGTACAAAAATAAGGAATCACATAACTGCTTAAAGAAGAATGCAGTAAAATGTAACGCAAAATGTTTTTTCAGCCACACATATTGAGTAGAATACAGAGTTATCTCCCTTCCGCTGGAAGTGCTGTTTACTTTGCCTACAGCATTGTTTACTGATTGTCATGTCCACCAACTGACTGATGACAGTGAACATAGGGAACAATTCAAGTAGGTCAATATTGCCTTGACACAGATTTACTGATAGCTGTTCCCAGGGAATTAAAATGCCTATCTAAGATCCATCCATTATTTTGGACTCTACATTGTGAGGAATGAGTTGGCCACCTCACCTGACCAGATGCATTATGAGGTACTTGAGCGTCTGGAAGTGGGCCGCAGGCAGGCTGGCCATGGCTTCCTTCAGCATCTTTACCTGCTCGTTAACATCACTCTCCTCCTTCTCTGAAAAATAAACTCCGAACAATTAGAACCTCACACTTAACTTTACAGGACACACATCATCAAACTTCACAGTTAACATTACACATTTAACATCACCTCAACATCACACAATAAACATCACAGACTTAACATCACATTCTTCACATCACTGTCTCACAGCACATTTAGAATAGCCTCAACATCACAGACCTAACATCACATTCTTCACATCACTGTCACACAACACATTTAGAATAACCTCAACATCACCAACCTAACATCACAGGCATCACATCACTGTCACACAACACATTTAGAATAGCCTCAACATCACCAACCTAACATCACATTCTTCACATCACTGTCACACAACACATTTAGAATAGCCTCAACATCACCAACCTAACATCACATTCTTCACATCACTGTCACACAACACATTTAGAATAGCCTCAACATCACCAACCTAACATCACATTCTTCACATCACTGTCACACAACACATTTAGAATAGCCTCAACATCACCAACCTAACATCACAGGCATCACATCACTGTCACACAACACATTTAGAATAGCCTCAACATCACCAACCTAACATCACAGGCATCACATCACTGTCACACAACACATTTAGAATAGCCTCAACATCACCAACCTAACATCACATTCTTCACATCACTGTCACACAACACATTTAGAATAGCCTCAACATCACCAACCTAACATCACAGGCATCACATCACTGTCACACAACACATTTAGAATAGCCTCAACATCACCAACCTAACATCACAGGCATCACATCACTTTAAGATGCTGATATAACTCAAGTCAGATAAATATACATCACACATTTAACATCACCTACTTAACATAACATCATTAACTAAACATCAGAAGCACCACATCTCCTTAACATCATACACTCAACATTACAAATTTTAAATCACCAAAACATCAGTGACACAACATCACAACTTTAACATCACTTACACCATAACTTTACACTTCACCTCACTGACACACTTAACTTACACAATTTGAACATAACTGCCGTAACATCACAGAGTGAACTTGAAATGCTTCACATGATAATAATAAAATACCATCTTGAGTGGGGCTGATCAAGAGCGGAGACACCATGTGAACAGTGGCACTTACTGGCTGCTTCTATGACTGTTTTGTAAACATCAAATGTGATGAGAGGTATTGGGAGGAGTCGGAAGAATAGCTTGAGGGCACTCGTGACCGTGTTGATGTCATCGTAACGAGAAACACTGATATCTGCGTTCTCACCATCTGCAAAGTGATAATAGACATGATCGTTACAACTGTCCACTGTGGACATCATGTCACTGAGACTGTTTCCCGTCACCTTCTGGAGACATGATCGTTACAACTGTCCACTGTGGACATCATGTCACTGAGACTGTTTCCCTGTCACCTTCTGGAAACATCATCTGTGTCACGAACGCCACAGTATTGTTTACATGTATAGAGACAAACAACAGCGCAAATATCATCTGTCAGCTTCAGCCTTTAATGCTGATTTGTATATTCCAAATACATGATATTACCAACCAAATACAGTGGGTTTAAATCCAAAGAGTACATAATGTTAGAAATTAGTCTGTCGGACAGAGAACTGAAACTTGTCCTTTAGACAGTAGTGCAACTATACAAACAAACGGACCAATGCCTACAGATAATGTCAGTGATTGCCTTATGCAGCATTCCATTGGTTTACTCTCAAGTGTAATGGCCCTTCATTAAAGGGAAGCTACTCTGGAATGTGAAACACAACATTTGTTAAAAGTCTGTCTGTCACAAGTGTAATGGCCCTTCATCAAAGGGAAGCTACTCTGGTATGTGAAACTTAACATAAAATCTGGTCATAAAATTTGTCGTCATAAAAGGCGTGATGAGGTCTTTCTGTCACTTCTCAGACTTGGACACTGTGGGGTAAATGCTTACAAGAGTATTATAGATAAGACGGTCTCTGCTAAATATGGTCATTGCAATTTTGAGACGCCTGAAAATATTGAACATGTTCTAATTGCATGCCCTGGGCATAATATAATCATAAGACATAATCTCAGAAGTGCTGTACATGAGGTTGATGGTATATTTTCTTTAGAAACAGTCTTGGGCCCCAATATCATGTACGGGTCTGTGCAACGGTTAGGTTTAGATTTTGTCTCATCATCTGGAAAATATGATGTAATCTAGACAGGCTCTCAAGTGGCTTAGACAGATTTAGTTCTGTGATTTTAAATCATTTTAACGCTCTGTCATCTTAACCTACTGCCTTTTTAATGAAATGGTATTTCATGTTTCAGAAATGGAAGTGATTACTTAATTTTTTTAATCCGTAACATGAAGCAGAGGTTATTCCTTTAGGCCTCTCATTAGCCCACGTCGCCCTACAACTACAACACCAACCAACCAACCAACTAAACATTGTTTACAGTCTGTCACCTTTATTCCAGGATCATGAAATGCAGATAGCCACACAGCCACACAATGAAACAAGGCAATATAAGTTATAATACATATTTCATCTAAATGTATTCAAATCAAGAAAAGACCCAAGTTCTACAAGCAGAGCCAAGGAATCTAATTCCCATTTGTCATTACTAAATAGTAAATATACTCACAATATACCTTACCATTTGTCTGCATTTGTCAAAGGCCCATGCTAGGCACCTTTTTGACACTGATTCGTGGGATGTAATACAACTCTCTTAATAATGATAACAATTATTTCTGAAAGTTGTCCCCAATAATCAATACTGAGTTACAGTCATGGTTGCTGCTATATGTGTTTGTTAACACTGTACATTGTACAAAGCTGTCCATGACAAATTCTATTTACATCTTTATCCATAAATGACCCCAATAATGTTGTGTCTTCTTTATGATAGTGATAAACCTACTCAATGATATGATAAAATATGATATCCTACCTTATAGACAAACTTTATGGAAAACAACTTCTTGTATGTCTTGAGTGCACTGTTTTGATACATATTCTTGTACCATTGTCAAGCAGCAATGTCGGCTTGACAACGGTAAAAAATCTGAATCAAAATGTCACACTCAAGAAATACAAGAAGTTATCCATAAAGTTTGTCTTTTCGTACTGCCCAACTTCAAAAATGACACTCAAAGGAGATATCCAACCTTTATCAAATGACATCCTGATCGCCTCCACATCATCATGGAAACCAGCTATTCGGTACAACCCTTCCGACTCCAAACCTACAGATGAAACATGAGATATTCTTATGAATATACATGAGCTAGGATGGGGTTGTGTGGAGTGAGACAGGTCTTTGGACTGCAGCCAATCTGACTGTCCCCCACCATACGATGTGTCTTAGTGTTCAAACTTACAGATGATGTGTCGTGAACCCACATCTTTGTTGTAATACTTGGTATTAATGTTTATATTTCATGATACCCTACTTTAGTATAATCTGAATGTAAACATTTACAATCTGAATGTAAACATTCACACTGGTCTACAAATCACTTCATCTGAATAAGTGAATGCAGCGATAAGCCACATTATCCTATCTGTATACTTCATGTCAAATATTGAAATAATTTGCTACAAACACAATCAGTTAAATATTGATTGTTCTCTGTTTAAGTCAACACTACTATTCTGGGGCTCCTTTCACAAAGCAACCTTTACTAAGGCTAACCTTAACTCCCATAGTTTAACATTGCACTAAGGTTACCTTAGTGACTTACGATCACCTTAGCGCTTTGTGAAAGGAGCCCCAGGTCTGTAGTGGTAGCGTGTAATAATCCTGTCTGTAACCGACAATCCAGTGTTTGATATTGTTAGCAGTGAACCATCCTGGCAGGGTACAATGACATGCCACCGACAAGGTCATCAAGTCGAACCACTCAAAGCATTAGTCATACCCAGCATAGGCTGCTGGGACTGGTTGTATACAGAATCCTACAGGGGGTAATCTCATGCACCCAGACCAGCTGCACACTCACAACTCTGGTGGCTATATTGATAACAGTTCAGCAATAAACTGTTGGGTTCATATATACAAATACATTGGTTTAGAGGTCTTGCAGATCAGTGAAGTCTCTCATGTGGTGTCAGTAAAGGTGCATTCTCATAGTAGTAACAACTTGTAGCGTGCAACACAGCTGCAACGTGAGAAGTGCAAAGCAGCTGCAACGTGAGAAAGGCCTAGTCGTAACGATTTAAAAGCACCTACAACTAGTCACAGCCGAGTTGTAAGACATAGGATTCGTCCTAATTCCCACTACAGGTCACAAGCTCTCGACCAATCAAATAGCTTAGATCTTTGTCCACCTCAAAGTGACGTCCCCTATGCTTTTTATTGACATCATGTCGGAGACGCGACTGAAAAACATCAACTTTACCTGAGAAGAAACCGAGCGGTCTGTAGGTTTTTACTTGTCAAAGGAATGTCACACTGTGAAAACGAACCTTAAGATTAACTTAATATATATTGAGTCAAAAAAGAAACTTCACAAAATGTAATTTGAAAAATAATGAATAATTTTCTCTGATGATACATCTATGTATCCGAAATGGGATCCCTATCTTTCGACTCTAGAAAAACGTTAGCAAAACCCACTCAAACCCATCCATTCGTCGTGCAAATGACGTTAGTGCCAAATTAGGTTTTGCATGTGCAGTCAATCACGTGATCTTCGCATCGAAGTTTTCTTCATATGCATGTGTTTGCATTGGCCTCAAGAATTGAAAAAACACTTTTAAACCACAGTTCTAACGGTACCTGAAATGCTATGATTGTCAAATGTGCAACGGAACGCAGCCGCTAAGCCACATTATCCTATCTGTATACTTCATGTCAAATATTGAAATAATTTGCTACAAACACAATCAGTTAAATATTGATTGTTCTCTGTTTAAAAAGTCAACGCACTACTATTCTGGGGCTCCTTTCACAAAGCAACCTTTACTAAGGCTAACCTTAACTCCCATAGTTTAACATTGCACTAAGGTTACCTTAGTGACTTACTGATCACCTTAAGCTTTGTGAGAAAGGGCCCCAGTCTGTAGTGGCAGCTGTAATAATCCTGTCTGTAACCAACAATCCAGAGTTTGATATTGTGGCGGTGAACCATCCTGGCAGAGTACAATGACATGCCACAGACAAGGTCATCAAGTCGAACCACTCAAAGCATTAGTCATAGCCAGCATAGGCTGCTGGGACTTGTTATATACAGAATCCTACAGGGGGTAGTCTCATGCACCCAGACCAGCTGCACACTCACAACTGTGGTGGTTATACTGAAAACAGTTCAGCAATAAACTGTTGGGTTCATATATACAAATACATTGGTTTAGAGGTCTTGCAGATCAGTGAAGTCTCTCATGTGGTGTCAGTAAAGGTGCATTCTCATAGTAGTAACAACTTGTAGCGTGCAACACAGCTGCAACGTGAGAAAGACCAAGTCGTAACGATTTGAAAGCACCTACAACTAGTCACAGCCGAGTTGTAAGACGTAGGATTCGTCCTAATTCCCACTGCAGGTCACAAGCTCTCGACTAATCAATTCGCTTTGATCTTTGTCCACCTCAAAGTGACGTCCCCTATTGTTTTTGTTGACATCATGTCGGAGACACGACTGAAAAACATCAACTTTATCTGAGAAAAAAAACGAGCGGTTTGTAGGTTTTTACTTGTCAAAGGAATGTCACACTGTGAAAACGAACCTTAAGATTAACTTAATATATGTTTAAATGTGAACATAAGATAGACATACAGAACAACAAGTATTCCACTCAAACTTCCAGGTAGGAATACAGGTCCCCACCAACCCAGTGCTTATCTGCTAATGCAGATTCCTGGTAAGAATGTAGGTGTGTTGCTAGAGGTGACTATGTAGATCACATGGTCAGACTTGCTGCCCTTGGCTGACGCATGTCAGCTGCTCATGATGCCAATCACTGGATGGTCTGTGCCAGACTCTGTTATCTACAGACCTATGGAATATTACTGAGTGCTACGTTAAACTGATACATGTATATGACAGCGTGGCATCTCACCTCTGGTCTCTATCTCCTTCACACACTTCTCCACCACATGTGGGATGCCGGTCTTCTGAGCCAGCACCACGGTTGTCAGGTCGGCGCCATAGATCCGTTTAACATACTTCATGTCGGGCATGCAGTCATTAGGCACCTTCTCTGAGCACTTCTTGTGAGCTTCAAACCCACAGTCTGGACACAGAAACACCACCGTCATGCTGACATCACACAAGCTACAACGTTACCTACTCACGGACAATGGCTACCACAATGGGGCCATGGGATTTAGGACAGTAATGATATTTTCCAGACCCATAACAAATTATTATTCAGTTACCATGAATTAGTTATTATTGCACACCCAGAATACAACTGTCATACATCATTTTGTGGAACAGATTAACTTTACCAAAAACATGCTAGAACCAAACACCCCATCCCAACAATAACCTAAATCCCATCCTTCCTTTAGCCTGTCAACTGATTGGTCCATACACCCTATACTAACAGGACAAAATGATTTACAGCAGTCAAGGGAAATAACTCCTTAGTACCTACCACTGGATTGTAGAAAAAGAGTTACAGTTCTTACTTTGCATATATTATCAGTAATCTATGGTCTATGTGAGTGAGTGAGTATGGTTTTACACCGCTTTTTAGCAATGTTCAACAATATCACATGGGGGACACCAGAAAGTATGGTTTTACGGTATTGGCGAGCGCTTTTTTTAGCAATGTTCCAGCAATATCATAAAGAGTTCCTTCACATATACATGGGGACTTCAGAAATGGGCTTCACATACATTGTACCCAGTTCCTTGTGGGAGAATCGAACCATAAGGTTCTTCGGTAAAGAGTTCGACAAGTAAGAGCTTAAAGAGCTTCACATGACCACTAAGAGTTCCTTCACTACATAAGAGTTCCTTCACATATACATAAGAGTTCCTTCACTATAAGAGTCCTTCCACATATACATAAGAGTTCCTTCACATACATAAGAGTTCCTTCACATACATAAGAAGAGTTCCTTCACATATACATAAGAGTTCCTTCACATCAAGAGTTCCTTCACATACATAGAGTTCCTTGACTGGTGTACATGAAATACAAGAGTCCTTTCACCTTGACATTTAACCCCATTTAACCCCTGCGATGAGGCCCCACATGAAGTTGGCGCAGAAGTCACACCAGTGAAGGCCCATGAAGTTTTGAAGCTGCAAAATAAAAACAAACATAATAAAGCTGTTAAGTGCAGAGAAACATGGCACACCCAGGAGATCCTGGCACACTAAGGGATGCAACTCTGCAGAGTTAATTTCAGCATGTTCTACCATGCACAATCCAGATTTCAAGTCTGTATGAGGTAGGATGGGTGGAGAGAGACACAGATCTGACTGTGCCCCCATTTCACAACATGTACTAAGTACACGATGTGTTTTAGTGTTCATACAGAGAATATGTGTTGTGAACACACATCTTTGTTCTAATACTTGGTATTAATGTTTATATTTCATGATAAGTTACTTAAGTATATATGACAGACGTCATCCTTCAGTATCCATGGTGATCTCACCTTAAAGCAATGCTGCTTCTCGTAATGCTTCCAGTCTGGGGGGAGGTCATCGTCATCCTCGTCTCCCTCATCCCCTTCTGCCTCTTCCACAACAGTGTCCTGCAATAAACAAGTGCACATGTACTTATCACCCATCTACTCGGGCCGGTGTTCACAAATATACCACCCTGATCTCTACTCATGTAAAGATCATATTGCAGCAGAGACATGTGCAAGCTGATTCGGACAGTAACAAGGTACCAATATCAAACAATCTGGTCTATATCTAAATCTGTTCTGGAATTGCTAAAGAAAACAGTGTAACATAAATATCAAAACAATTATATTTTCTACAAATGCTGGCTGAAAGACATACATATTTGACAACAAGTGATCTCATGATATACCCACCGGTACATCCACATCGGACGAAGTGACCTCATCATCGGTGTAGTCTAGTCGCCGTGACGATGCTGGCCGGGAGCGAGTCTTCAGCCGCTTCTTCTTGTAGCTGTATGCGAGGTATGGTGACTCTTCGTAGTTTGACTCATTAGAGAGTGCTGATATGTAGTCAGCCGCACGCAGCTCAATGTAGAAGTGGATCAATCCGTCCTCCACGAGGGAGTGCACAGTGTCAAACCGCTTCTCACCCACAAAATGCTTGCCATCATAATACAGTTTGAAGTTCTTTGTTTCACCATTAAACCTGAGAAGAGATAACATGGTTATTGAGTTGATTGACGGCAGTGAACACCATATCAGCAATATATCAGCAACAAGAATACTGATCCAGGTGCAACACTCAGTTATAGGTTGTACAACAACGCTGGTGGGTGGGACACATCACACAGCATCAACTGGACAGCCCTCTTTTATACAGCTCACTTATACAGAGTGATCTCAGGCCTACAATTATTGTATACCAACATTTAACTATCCCAGTTATGCAGATCTGAGGAGTCTCAACAGCACACACATCTCATCGTCACACATCATGGAGTTTGGAAGTAACTGAGTTACCGCCGATGTTCCCACCTGATTGCCAGTGTGAAGGCGTCGGGAGCGCGCTCACTCTTGCGGACGAGGTAACAGCCATCTCCATCACTCAACAACCGGTCTGCCTCATCACGGCTCACGTTGCCATGGAATCTAAAACACAAAAAGGCAAACATTCCTGTACTGTAAGGTTCACAAATTCATACAGTATCTGATACCTCAGAAACATGTTTCAGACATTGTGTTCATGGTTTGTGTTCAACATGATCAGTGAGGTCAGCATAGGGAACACATCTGGCGTGGGACATGAGAATTACTGCCATTCAAGAATTGTCAGACAATCATTGAAAACTAACTATTTCTTTACGGTTATGTTTCTACTGGACAGTGTTTAATTGTGGTTTGCAGGTTACAAGCATATTCTCAAAAAATATATTTGCTGTATTTTGGAATAATGGAAAGAGTATTTCAGAAAAGAACATCACTACAAAATTATATAACTCAACCTCAACAGTACTAGAATAACTGAGAATGTGTAATCACAAATACAACGTATGTTACATTTGACCACTTTCAGTACGCCTTTGTGTATTTACAGAAAATTACGGCTATTGAAAAATGCATCCTCCCTTGTTCTTCAACTGTCATGAACACAGAACCATGATACTATCACATTAAAACATTCTTCCAATGAATATATTTATAACCATGCTGGGGCTACTCTATCTTCACACGGTGCAGGGATTAACAGTATATGTCAGGTTGATATAGACGAGTTACAGTGAAATAATCAAAACAAGCTGAATCTTTCGCAGATTACTTTTGGTAATATGAAAGAATCATGTGCTTTTAAACTTCATGTCTGTCTGTCTGTCTGTCTGTCTGTCTGTCTCCGTATATATGTATGTATAGTCTGAGACATCTGCAACAAAGAGACAATCCAACACAAGCCCAGAAGCAGTCTATCTACCATGCTATGCTACCATTATGAGGCAGTGAAAAAACTCCCCAAAAGTTCACGCTAGCAACTGAAGTGAATCTGTAATTGAATAATTCTTCCATCAGTTAATTCTACTGAGGCAGCAGGAATGTCAGAGAAGCAATTCCGCCAATCAGTCTGCAGTGGGCTGGCACCATGTCGAGCACTTATGTGGTGTGACTCACAGGGAGAAGCAAGGGGAGGCAACTCCACCAGCAACAATTAGCAGCACATACATCAATCAATACACTACCGTGGAAAGATTAACAGCAGAACGTTATGCTCACATATTCAGAAAACAAATGCCAGAATTTATGATTAGGAATGCCTTGCAATGCTCTAACACTGAGAGCTGTTACTGATGGTTAGCAGGGCTGCATTGCTGCAAAGCAGTACTTGAAGTTGGAGTTAGGGAACATTGAAATGTAGCTGCTGTCATATGACACATGAGAAACAAGTAGTTTATTTAGGACAAAGACAGAAGTCCAGATAACCTGTGTATTTGCATAACAGATACAAATATATTATTACTATAGCCAATTCAGTTTTGAGTTTGTCCCATACAGAAATGAAAAACAGCAGTTGACGCATTATACAGTATGTTCAGACAAGTGATAACACGATACTTCATTTGACATGGTTTTACCATGCTCACAGCATTAATTTAACATGAGTGAGTGAGTGAGTGAGTTTACTTTTACGACGCACTCAGCAATATTCCAGCTATATGGCGGCGGTCTGTAAATAATCGAGTCTGGACCAGACAAAACAGTGATCAACAGCATGAGCATCGATCTGCGCAAGTGGTAACCGATGACATGTGTCAACCAAGCCAGCGAGCCTGACCACCCGATCCCGTTAGTCGCCTCTTACAACAAGCATGAGTTACTGAAGGTTCATTCTAACCCGGACCTTCACGGGAGACAAGCATGGGTTACTGAAGGTTCATTCTAACCCGGACCTTCACGGGAGACAAGCATGGGTTACTGAAGGTTCATTCTAACCCGGACCTTCACGGGTCACATGACACTGACCAGTGAACACATTCCTGTCAAGTTAAATATATCAGAATGGAGACTATCATCCTGACTGATGTAGAAATAACTTTCAAATTCAAGTAAAACATTGTTCGATATATTCCAGTGATCATGAATAATGAATTGAATTCATGAAGGAATACAGTTCACTTCACCGAATGAATCGTAACAGAACTAGTAATTACTCAGAATGGAGTTACATTAACTTCATGTTAGACAGTTAGGGCTGCACGCAAACAAATACAAATTAAAAATCACCCAAGACAGCTGTTTGAGCAGAATCATTTTGAAAAAAATGTGAACTCGTTGGTGTCGAAATACCCATGGGACATTGTGTCCATGTACACAGCCCTCTATCTCTGCTACACAAATGACTAATGTTTTCCTATTTGACTTCCTATCCAAAGTTACTTTCTGCTGCCAACCACTTGGACCGTGATCCAACAGCATGGTGCGCCATGACATGGGGGGGGATTTATCTCAACGTCCCACTTGACCATATTTCCTTAAAGGAAGTAGAAAAGTTACACTCGGAAAACAGTGTAGAAAATCATAACAACAGTCATGCTATCTGGAAACCAACTTCAGTCATGCCTGTTTGAGCACAGATTTTGTATAACTTCCTTGAATTGATTGAATTGACCAGTGTATGACTGACTTTCAAATATGACCATTTTTTCATCAAGGTGTAACCTACCTAGGGTCCAGAGTGAGGTCAACCCATGTAGGAGCGGTGTCTAACTAACCTAGATTCAGGAATGAATTCAACCCACACAGGGACGTCTAATTAACCTAGGGCATAGAGTGAGGTCAACCCATGTAGGAATGAGGTCTAACTAACCTAGAGTCCAGAGTGAGGTCAACCCACGTAGGAATGAGGTCTAACTAACCTTGAGTCCAGAGTGAGGTCAACCCATGTAAGAGGTGTATAACATAACTAGGGTTCAGAATGAGCTTCACTCCTGAAGGACTGATGTCTGACTAACCTAGGGACAAGCGTGAGGTCAACCCTGTTAGGAGTGAGGTCCAACTAACCTAGAGTCCAGAGTGAGGTCAACCCATGTAAGAATGAGGTCTAACTAACCTAGGGCATAGAGTGAGGTCAACCCACGTAGGAATGAGGTCTAACTAACCTTGAGTCCAGAGTGAGGTCAACCCATGTAAGAGGTGTATAACATAACTAGGGTTCAGAATGAGCTTAACTCCTGAAGGACTGATGTCTGACTAACCTAGGGACAAGGGTGAGGTCAACCCTGTTAGGAGTGAGGTCCAACTAACCTAGAGTCCAGATCAGGTAATCCCAGGATGGAATGACTTCTAACCCAGGATCCAGAGTCAGGTCAACCCAAGTAGGAGTACGGTATAACCAAGGTCAAGAGTTGGTATGAGGTCTAACTTAGTCTGTCTCACAACCACATTATTTTCCCTAATGCCTGGCCCTCCCTGCACTGCTAAAGCCCTAATTGAAGCAAGTCTAGATTTCCCCATGTCCTGGCGCTCCTTTTCAGTTAAAATGGTTTATTTGTTACTATCAAAATTATATATATTCAGGGACTAAGCTTTAGTCTAGGTCTACCTAAGCACGTACACAATAAGACCCAGTCTCCTCTCACACTGAGACATCCAACTAACACACAATGACCCTAGTGTTGGGAACTGGTTAAAATTTCATTATTGATGATTGGTTCATTAAAACCGATCAATCATCGAAAATAATTGGTTAGCGTCATTTATCAATTTTTTCTGGTTATGTTTGTTAATGCACAAATCATAAAAACAAAACATGTAGTTCTTTGGGGTTTTTTTTTCACAAAATGCATTTGACTAGCATGTTAGGAACATGAATTTCCTGGAGTCTTTAAGATAAACTCAATCATGACTTGGAACGAGCTTGTAGTGCTTACAAAATGTAACAGACAAAACCAACCTTGTGAAAAATATTGTTAATGCAAACAAGTGTTCCAAAATTGTTTGTGTTCGATTATGTGAACACATGATCGATTGCTTAGTCGTTTAGTCATTGCGACCAATCTTCGATTATTTCAATTAATCGCACTACTAGAAAAAGTAAATTACCCCAGGCTATACTCCCTAAAAACTATGAAATTGATCAAAAACAAATATATTTAAACACCAGATAAGAGGGAGTTTTAGCATTTCCACATGACTATGTAAACAGCAATGAAGAAGCAGTGCATACTACATGTCCACTAGGAATTGGTTTGGGCATGCTGTTTAACTCCGTACAGGCAGGTGTATACTCACTCTTTCCCATAGAAGGTTGGTCTGTTGGGTACCTGCAAACAAACAGACAAGTGTTTAGGAGTGACATTACACATTAAGTGCTTAAAAGTCTAGGCATGTCTTGTGGGCAAATATTTGCTAATCACACAGTATAATAAATCACAATGTGTGCTTTGTATTACATTCATTTTAATGGATTCAATTTTTACTGCGCAGCACTATGAATGTGAGCCTTCAAAGAGTGAACACAACAAACAGCACACAGCACCGTTATAATGATGTACTCCATATCTTTCACACATAAAGGAAATGTCACACATGGAAAGGCGCTATATAAATGGCCTATTATTATTATTATTACATAACAGGGTGAGGGTTTACAGATGCTTTCAGCTATCAATTTTTGACTGAAGAATAAACCCATGTCTAAATTGTGATATACCCTATACCATGAGTGAGTGAGTGAATGATTCAAGTAGACATAAGGGTGACATATAAACAGAACTACAAATATCTGCTGTTCTGTACAAGAGTTACTGTTTCATTTATAATGTGTACACATACTGAAGAGTGATATCTGTGAACCATTGCTACATTACTCTCATAATGGATTGTGGTACAAATATAATAACAAGCATGAATCCCATGGTACACATTTAATAACATGAATGTTATCCCATGGTATGCATGAATAACATGCATGTTTCCCATGGTATGCATGAATAACATGCATGTATCCCATGGTACATGTGTATTAACATGTATGTATTCCATGGTACATGTGTAATAACACGCATGTATCCCATGGTACATGTGTAATAACATGCATGTATCCCATGGCACATGTGTAAGAACATGCATGTATCCCATGGTACATGTGTAATAACATGCATGTATCCCATGGCACATGTGTAATAACATGTATCCCATGGTACATGTGTAAGAACATGCATGTATCCCATGGTACATGTGTAATAACATGCATGTATCCCTTGGTATGCATGTAATAACACACATGTATTCCATGCTATGTATTTAATAACATGCACATATCCATAGTTTGTAGTCCATACAGTCATATTTGAGAATACCATATCATGACATGTGTATCCCAGACATGGTACAAGCATGATACACAGCTGTATTTGTGACCTATGGTACATGTCATGACGTGTGTATCCCAGACATGGTACAAGCATGATACACAGCTCTATGTATTGTGACCTATGGTACAGGTCATGATGCGTACATGTCATGACATGTGTATCCCAGACATGGTACAAGCATGATACACAGCTCTATTTGTGACCTATGGTACATGTCATGACATGTGTATCAAGACATGGTACAAGCATGATACACAGCTCTATTTGTGACCTATGGTACATGTCATGACGTGTGTATCCCAGACATGGTACAAGCATGATACACAGCTCTATTTGTTACCTATGGTACATGTCATATACAGACATGTACAAGCATGATACACAGCTCTATTTGAACACATGTCATGATGTATCCCAGACATGTCAAGCATGATACACAGCTCTATTTGTGACCTATGGTACATGTCATGATTGTGTATCCCAGACATGGTACAAGCATGATACACAGCTCTATTTGTGACCTATGGTACATGTCATGACATGTGTATCCCAGCCAACACAGTGTATCCCAAACATGGTACAAACGCGCATGATAGCTCTATTTGTGACCCATGGTACATTGAAACAACATGTATGGTACACGTTATACCATGTAACAACCCAGAGGTATCTGTGAAGTATTGAACATTAAGTCTCATAACAACCCATACATGCATGGCCAACACATGGTACCTGTGAAGATTGAAACAAATGTTATACGGGACATGCAATAACCTGTATTTATACACAGGATTGTATCTCACCTCTTTCTGGCAGATTATCCGACGTGGTTTAGGAGCTTCTTGCTGAAGGGTATATACTGAAAGAGCAAGGTCAGATCAAATGTTTTATCTTGATAATGTTAATAACTAACATTGAGGTACGAGTTCATTTCAAGGAACAAATAATCAATCTCCTTTTCTAACTCTGGACCCGTACACCTTGGACCTTTTATATGAACAAGTAATGTAACATTAATTCATTCAAGTGAAGGAGGGGAGTTGTGTTTTTATGCCTTGTGTGCCATTTAACAGTAATAACATATTGTCAAGGATAGGAATGGATTTCACACATTCTAGCCATGTTTGGAATCATCCCTGCCTCTCCAGTGTGAGGAGTCCACTCTAAACACTTGACAATCCAGCCACCCACACATATGACATGACTCAGGGGACCAATGAATACACACGGTGCACTGCCTACAGAAGCTAGTTCCTGGTTCATCTCAGTGTTGTTGAAATGGACTTGGTAACTTATCTCACAATAATACAATATCTCATTACAAACTGTATGTACAATCTGGTCATGATAAGTTTCATTTCATACCTAATGCCAGAACATTTTAACCAGGTCGTGTAAATTAACAAAATTTATTTCATGTTTGACAGTTTCCTTGTGTTTCTCCAAGAATCTGGAGAATTATTAAAAACTGAATTGATTTCGAGTCTGGAATAATTTCACAAGAAAATCTAGACTGATGGGCTCTTATTGGTTCTATCTGGATCTTAATTTATGTGTTTGTAGATGTATGATCTTAGAGAAGATAACTATACTCCAGCAACTAAATGTTAGTTTAACAGTTTCCAGAAACACAAGAATTAAGCTACAAAACAGCAGGTGTTTGTGAGTGTGTGTGTGTGCACATGCATGTACATGTGTGTGTGCATAGTGTGGGTGGGGGTTGGGTTGCTGGGATGTGTGCGTATGTGTGGGTGGGGGTTGGGTTGCTTGGATGTGTGTATGTGTGGGTGGGGGTTGGGTTGCTGGGATGTGTGCGTGTATGTGTGGGTGGGGGTTGGGTTGCTGGGATGTGTGTGTGTATGTGTGGGGATTTGGTTTGCTGGAATGTGTGCATATGTGTGGGTGGGGGTTGGGTTGCTGGGATGTGTGCGTATGTGTGGGTGGGGTTGCTGGGATGTGTGCATATGTGTAGGTGAGGGTTGGGTTGCTGGGATGTGTGTGTATGTGTGGGGATTTGGTTGCTGGAATGTGTGCGTATGTGTGGGTAGGGGTTGGGTTGCTGGGATGTGTCGCGTATATGTGTGGGTGGGGGTTGGATTGCTGGGATGTGTGTATGTGTGGGTGGGGGTTGGAGTTGCTGGGATGTGTAATAGCGTATGTGTGGGTGGGGGTTGGGTTGCTGGGATGTGTGTGTATGTGTGTGGGATTGGGTTGCTGGGATGTGTGCATATGTGTGTGGAGTGGGGGTTGGAGTTGCTGGGATGTGTGCGTATGTGTGGCAAGGGGTTGGGTTGCTGGGATGTGTACATATGTGTGGGTGGGGTTGGGTTGCTGGGATGTGTGTGTATGTGTGGGTGGGGGGGTTTGGGTTGCTGGGATGTGTGCGTGAAGCATATGTGTATGTGTAGGGATTTGTGTTGCTGGGGGTTGCTGGATGTGTGCATATGTGTGGGTGGGGTTGGGTTGGGTTGCTGGGATGATAATGTGCGTGTATGTGTGTGTGGAGTTGGGAGTTGCTGGGATGTACTGCATGTATGCGTATGTGTGGAGTGGTGGGGTTGGGTTGCTAGGATATGTGTGTGTAGGAGTTGCTGGGATGTGTGTGTATGTGTGGAGGTAAGGAGTTAGGGTTGCTGGGATGTGTGCATATGTGTGGAGAATGTTTGCTAGGATGTGTATGTGGTAGGGGTTGGGTTGCTGGGATGTGTGCGTATGTGTGGGTGAGGGTTGGGTTGCTGGGATGTGTGTATATGTGTGGGTGGGGTTGGGTTGCTGGGATGTGTATATGTATATGTGTGGAGAGGGGGGTTGGATTGCTGGGATGTGTTGCGTATGTGTGGGTGGGGAGTTGGGTTGCTGGGATATGTGTGCATTATGTGTGGGTGGGGGGTTGGGTTGCTTGGATGTGTGCGATTGCTAGGATATGTGTGGGTGGGGGTTGGAGTTGCTGGGATATGTGCATATGTGTGGGAGGGGGTTGGGTTGTTAGGATGTATGCGTATGTGTGGGTAGAGGGTTGGGTTGCTGGGATGTGTGTGTATGTGTGGGGTGGGGGGTTGGGTTGCTGGGATGTGTGCATATGTGTGGGTGGGGAGTTAGGTTGCTGGGATGTGTGCATATATGTGGAGGTAGGGGTTGGGTTGCTGGGATGTGTGCATATATGTGTGGGTGGGGGTTGGGTTTTGCTAGAGATGTGTGTATGTGTGGTGGGGGCTGGGATGTGTGCATATGTGTTGGTGGGGTTGGGTTGCTGGGATGTGTGTGTATGTGTGGTGAGGGGTTGGGTTGCTGGGATGTGTGCGTATGTGTAGGGGTTGGGGTTGGGTTGCTGGGATGTGTGCGTATGTGTGGGTGGGGGCTGGGTTGCTGGGATGTGTGCGTATATGTGGGTGGGGGTTGGGTTGTTGGGATGTGTGCATATGTGTGGATGGGGGTTGCTGGGATGTGTGCATATGTGTGTAAAAGACTTTTGATTTATATAAAATCTGTCATAGCTTATGAGCTACAGAATCTCTTGTGACAAATAGCCAAGAGCCATTGTTGCCTTCATCACAAGAAAGATTCAAATCTATTCATGATAACAATATATGAAGCATCTTGCAACACTTATTAACGACATATTCAAGATGGTCACACGAGTGCAAAAGAATCTGCTTGTCAAGTAGCCTTGTAATAAGAAAAACATCACTAAGAGCGCTCTGATTTCTATATCGGAGTTTCCAGAAATGATTTAAGCTAATGTTCATGCTTCTCTTCTTAACATGATATAGTGATGACATACGAAATTTCAGAAAGTAAACCATCATCACCACAAGGCCTGGTTTAAATCCTTGTAAACATTACGATTCTATCTCACTACAGCATTTCATCGTCATTTTGATGGTAAAAGCATTCTCTAACATCATTCTCAAGTTTAATTCTGAATGATCAGCTTTTAAGGATCGTGGAGTTTTTAAAACAACATGTACTTAGCTACTGTAAAGTACTCTTGAAATTTTTAGTCCACCAGGAAAACGTACTTGGCCTTCCTGATCACTACAAGTTTCAAACTTACTTTGAACACTGTTGAATGAAGGCAAGATCAACTAAGAATTATAGCTTTTTGTCTTCATGAAAGGCCTTGAAATCAGTTAATCCTGCCCTCACAACCTACAGCTGTATATACGACACAAAACATGACTGTCCACAACATGACAAAGAGCTACACAAAACATATTGAGTTCCTTCAGCTGTTTGTCATGACAACACTTCCTGGTTAGCGTTGCCAATCAAACACAACTCAACAAGGGTGGTGGGGTAGCCTTGGGGTTCAACTGCTTGCTCAACATGCCAAAGACCAGGGTTCCCATTCCCATATGCATAGAATGTGTGAAACCATTTCTGGTTTCCCACTGTGATATTGCTGGAATATTGCTAAAAGTGGTGTAAAACCAAACTCACTCACTCACAACTCAACTTGTTGTCTACATATCACATGACAGGATCCTAAAACAAGTTGCATAGTGAGTGAGTGAGTGTGAGTTGGTGGGTGGGTGTTTGAGTGAGTGAGTGAGTGAGTGAGTGAGTGAGTGAGTGAGTGAGTGAGTGAGTGAGTGAGTGAGTGAGTGAGTGAGTGAGTGAGTGAGTGAGTGTGTGGAGTGAGAGGAGTGGGTGAGTAGAGTGGGTGGGTGGGAGGGTGGGATTTTAGTGGGTGGATGAGTGAGTGAGTGAGTGATTGAGTGGGTGGACTGACTGACTGACTGACTGAGTTTAGTTTTATGCCGCTTTTAGCAATATTCCAGCAATATCACGGCGGGGGACACCAGAAATGGGCTTAACACATTGTGCCCATGTGGGGAATCAAACCCGGGTCTTCGGCGTGACGAGCCAACGCTTTAACCACTAGGCTACCCCACGCCCTTGAGTGGGTGGAGTGTGTGGAGTGAGTGAGGAGTGAGTGAGTGAGTGAGTGAGTGGGTGGGTGGGTGGGTGAGTGAGTGGGTGGGTGGGGGTGGGTGGAGAGGGTGGGATTTTAGTGGGTGGATGGATGTGTGAGAACCATTTCTGGTTTCCCACTGTGATATTGCTGGAATATTGCTAAAAGTGGTGTAAAACCAAACTCACTCACTCACAACTCAACTTGTATACACATCACATGACAGGATCCTAAAACAAGTTGCAGTGAGTGAGTGAAGAGTGAATGGGTGGTGTGAGTGAGTGAATGAGTGAGTGAATGAGTGAGTGAGTGAGTGAGTGTGGGTGGGAGTGAGTGAGTGAGTGAGTGAGTAGAGTGGGTGGGTGGTTGAGTGAGTGAGTGGGGGTGGAGTGGGTGGGTTAGTGGGTGGTGAGTGAGTGAGTGAGTGATTGAGTGGGTGGAGTGAGTTTAGCGAGCACTCAGTAGCTATATGGGGCTGTAAATAATCGAAGTCTGGACCAGACAATGAGTGATCAACAGCATGAGCATCGAGTGGGAACCGATGACAGTGTCAACCAAGTCAGCGAGCCTGGGTGGTCAACCATAGTCAGTGGGTGGGTGGGGTGGGAGTGGGTGGGATTTTTAGTGAGTGGATGGTGAGTGAGTGAGTGAGTAAGGAGTGAGTCGCACTCAGCAATATTCTGCGTGGGGCGAGTGAGTGGGTGGGGCATGGAGAGGGTGGGATATTTATAAATAATCCTCCAGGACTAGCTATAATCAGGAGTCGAAGTGGAGTGAGTGAGTGAGTGAGTGAGTGTGAGTGAGTGAGTGAGTGAGTGAGTGCTGCCTTCAACAGCATTCCAGTCATATTACAAAGTGTTACCTTAATCATGTTAATGATGGAGGGAAGCCCTAACTGATGCAGCTCTCACGTTTACCAATTTGTTGCAAACCATGAGCAAGGGTATGGTCAGACAAACCTAGAAAAATAATTGGAGCAAAGTGGGATCTACACAATCTACCAGGTCATCAAATGACCACCACTCCATTAAGACCCCTTCACAGGTTGCTGGGGACCTATTTACCACCAAGGTTCCCCTGTGTATTAACAGATAAGGTACCAGGACGGAAGGAAGAAGAGGGTTGTAGCAATACTCACGGTATGTCTTCCATGTGGGCAGTGGCTGACTTTCCTCTCCATCTGCAAGAATAGTAACATAATCATAATTACGTGGACGCCGACGGTTACGGTTCGAGCTCTCCCGGCGACACACAGATCCTAAATCCATAGCTTATTTGTTGACAGCAATACCTTCACATAGCTATACTGTCCAATACAAATGAGTGTTGCTACAAACAAAACTTCAAACACAGCTAGTCCCCAATGTCAGGTCTTGGTAAGTTCCAACACAGTCCAGCAGTCAACAATCTATATGTGTCTTAAAACACAACTTGTCACAACCAAGACACTAGTCAAATCAAAACGTCTTAAGCACAGAGTTCCTCCTACTGTGTGTGTGAAGTACAGGTATGAAGCGCGGAAGGAACGCTGTAAGAATGGCGAGTTTCCTGGTTGTGGGTACACTGATCGCTAATGATACTCTCAGTCATGAACTGCATCTCATGTTCCGGCCTATGACCTAGAACACAGTGCTGGATCACAATGGCGAGATTTACTTCCTGCATGCCAAGCTACATACTCTCTACACCATTAAAGATTGGTCAGTCAGTCGTGTCTCACTATCTGAAATGTGTACTGTTTATGGAGGTTCTAAATCAGGTCAAGTGTACAAAGCTGCTGGGCATCAAGATAAATGAATACAAAGTCGATTTTTACTTCCTGATGAAGATTAAACATTTAACCATTTACATCCAGCATGCACACAAAATGTGATAACACACAAAACAAATACCATTCCACCATCCTTGTTCAACAAAGTAATTATTGTGATATTGCAACCTATTACACATAGATTTCAAACACAAAACCCACTGGAGGATTAAAGATATTTATGTGACTGATTGTTGTGTTGTTAGTGTTGAAGTGGTGAAGAAAGCTCAGCTTCCTGTCTTCCCAGAGTGCACTGCCTTGCATCAGGGATTACCCAGTTGGCCATCACCGATCAGACTTCCTCCCCGTGGTGACCCTCCCCTGAGGCGACCCTGCGGCGATAACTACACTCCTGTTGTCTACAACAACAACAACAACAACCAAGCCAGTCTGTACACAGGTATATACAGTCATCCATTCTCATGCTTCACTGAACAGGCAATAAAAGTGGTTTCTACAGTCATTGTAAAATGGACCTAAATCATCACTGAAACTATTTTTCCATAATACATGCTTCCTATACTTGTACCTCTCTACTTGTACCAGTATGAAGGCCCTACCATGGGTGGGTCACTGTGAGGCATTAGTAGGGGAGCCGGGACACTCCTACACCCTCTGAAGCAGGCAGGGCAGGGGTGACAAGGAAATATGTGGCAAGGAATATTTCACCAACATTCCATGAAGATCTTCACTGCATCTACTGACTAGGGATGTCACGATACATTAGTTTCATGAATCGATACGTATCACGATACCCATGTCACGATTCGATACATATCACGATACCTATTTTCACAGGATTATTGCGTAAAATTAGTTAGTTTTCAACATAAATATTCCATATAATTTATAACATATTTAAACCGATATTTTCAAAACTAAATATTGATACAGTTTTGAAATTGAATGTATCGATAATTGTATCATCTTAGAAAGGTATCGATGCATCGATGTATCGTGGCATCCCATCTACTGACTTTATTAGTACTATATAGAACAAATTTTATGGATAACAACTTCTTGTTATCCATAAAGTTTGTTCTATATTGTACTTCCCAACTTCTAAAATGCCACTCAAAGAAATTATTAGTACTGTTCTGAATAGTCACATTTCATTGATACACTTTCATCAGTACCCAAATCAATTCGTTTGAACCGTTTTCATAGCATCAATGTCATTATAATGTTTGGGCTTAAAGTTTTCATGCCTTTTCCATGTTTGTTTCTATATAATGTTTTTGTATTTTAACATCCTTCTAGAAAGATCTTAAACACTGATCTGTTAATCATCTTACTTATTTATCACTCGGTCAGCAAAAAATGTGGCCTAAACATTCAATGTGAACATATTTAAGAAAATACAAAATTATACTTTTAGATTAGTACTGCAATTGAGGAAACACAAATCTTAACCTGACAAGACACCAAATGATACAGTAAGATATACAAACAACATTGTCAAAAGCCAATTTATATTTTTTCCAAATTGTAAGCATTTTAGGGTTTTTTAAGATGGCTTGTTTCATAAACCAACAAAATGAAAATGTAAGGTCTGATCTTATCACTTGTTGCTGGACTCCAAGGTAAAACAGCCTTGCTCTTAACCCACGACTACATTGACAGTACACCTGATGCTGAGCTCATCAAAGGGTCTACTTCTCTAGGGAAGCAGCTCATTTATAGAGAACAGTGATAAAATCACACTGTGTCATGTGCACCTCCACTATATACAAAACAATTTTACTTGAAAGGCCCTTGAAAATACTTTTAAACGACGTGAAATCCTGCTCACACCCAATTCCACCCTACACTGCTGCCATAGTTTTATTTTGAATTTACTTCCAGGAATAGTCATCAGTTTAAATGCAAACCTAACCTTTGTTAGTGTGTGTCTATGTGTGTAAACTCTACTACCACACTGCAAAGATGAGAACTAGTACCTATGGTAACTGTCCAATGACACACAGTCTTCACAACCTGCACACTAGTAACTATGCCAACTCTCTCCCTGTACATGTCCTGCAGGCTAGTAACTATGCCAACTCTCTCCCAGTACATGTCCTGTAGGCTAGTAACTATGCCAACTCTCTCCCTGTACATGTCATGTAGGCTAGTAACTATGCCAACTGTCCCCCAGTACATGTCCTGTAGGCTAGTAACTATGCCAACTCTCTCCCTGTACACGTCCTGTAGGCTAGTAACTATGCCAACTCTCTCCCTGTACACATCATGCAGGCTAGTACCTATGCCAACTCTCTCCCTGTACACTTCCTGTAGGCTAGTAACTATGCCAACTGTCTCCCAGTACACGTCCTGTAGGCTAGTAACTATGCCAACTCTCACCATGTACATGTCCTGTAGGCTAGTAACTATGCCAACTCTCTCCCTGTACACATCATGTAGGCTAGTAACTATGCCAACTCTCTCCCTGTACACTTCCTGTAGGCTAGTAACTATGCCAACTGTCCCCCAGTACATGTCCTGTAGGCTAGTAACTATGCCAACTGTCTCCCAGTACCCGTCCTGTAGGCTAGTAACTAAGCCAACTCTCTCCCTGTACACATCATGTAGGCTAGTAACTATGCCAACTATCTCCCTGTACACATCATGTAGGCTAGTCACTATGCCAACTGTCCCCCAGTACATGTCCTGTAGGCTAGTAACTATGCTAACTGTCTCCCAGTACCCGTCCTGTAGGCTAGTAACTAAGCCAACTCTCTCCCTGTACACATCATGTAGGCTAGTAACTATGCCAACTATCTCCCTGTACACGTCATGTAGGCTAGCAACTATGCCAACTGTCCCCCAGTACATGACCAGCAGGCTAGTAACTATGCCAACTCTCTCCCTGTACACATCATGCAGGCTAGTAACTATGCCAACTCTCTCCCTGTACACTTCCTGTAGGCTAGTAACTATGCCAACTGTCCCCCAGTACACGTCCTGTAGGCTAGTAACTATGCCAACTCTCACCATGTACAAGTCCTGTAGGCTGGTAAAAATGCCCACTGTCTCCCTGTACACATCATGTAGGCTAGTAACTATGCCAACTGTCCCCCAGGACATGTCCTGTAGGCTAGTAACTATGCCAACTCTCACTATGTACACATCATGTAGGCTAGTAACTATGCCAACTCTCTCCCTTTACACATCATGTAGGCTAGTAACTATGCCAACTGTCCCCCAGTACATGTCCAGCAGGCTAGTAACTATGCCAACTCTCACCATGTACACATCATGTAGGCTAGTAACTATGCCAACTATCTCCCTTTACACATCATGTAGGCTAGTAACTATGCCAACTGTCCCCCAGTACACGAAATGCTGCTAGTAACTATGCCAACTCTCTCCCTGTACACATCATGAAGGCTAGTAACTATGCCAACTGTCCCCCAGTACATGTCCTGTAGGCTAGTAACTATGCCAACTCTCTCCCTGTACACGTCATGTATGCTAGTAACCATGACAACTGTCCCCCAGTACACGTCCTGTAGGCTAGCAACTATGACAACTGTCCCCCTGTACATGTCCTGTAGGCTAGTAACTATGCCAACTGCCTCCCAGTACATGTCCTGTAGGCTAGTAACTATGCCAACTGCCTCCCAGTACATGTCCTGTAGGCTAGTAACTATGACAACTGTCCCCCAGTACACGTCCTGTAGGCTAGTAACTATGCCAACTCTCACAATGTACATGTCCTGTAGGCTAGTAACTATGACAACTCTCCCAGTACATGTCCTGTAGGCTAGTAACTATGCCAACTCTCTCCCTGTACATGTCCTGTAGGCTAGTAACAATGCCAACTCTCTCCCTGTACACATCATGCAGGCTAGTAACTATGCCAACTCTCTCCCTGTACATGTCCCGCAGGCTAGTAACTATGCCAACCCTCTTCCTGTACACATCATGTAGGCTAGTAACTATGCCAACTCTCTCCCTGTACATGTCCTGTAGGCTAGTAACTATGCCAACTCTCTTCCAGTACACATCATGTAGGCTAGTAACTATGCCAACTTCCATCCCTGTACATGTCCTGTAGGCTAGTAACTATGCCAACTCTCTCCCTGTACACGTCCTGTAGGCTAGTAACTATGCCAACTGTCTCCCAGTGCATGTCATGTACGCTAGTAACTATGCCAACTCTCTCCCTGTACACATCATGCAGGCTAGTAACTATGCCAACTCTCTCCCTGTACACGTCCTGTAGGCTAGTAACTATGCCAACTGCCTCCCAGTACATGTCATGTAGGCTAGTAACTATGCCAACTCTCTCCCTGTACACATCATGCAGGCTAGTAAATATGCCAACTCTCTCCCTGTACATGTCATGTAGGCTAGTAACTATGCCAACTCTCTCCCTGTACATGTCC